CCTGACAGACTGTAATAGGCCTAAACAAGGTTACCCCCATTTTTCTGCAGTTGCTCAGTATCAACCCCTTCAGGGTTGCTGTCAGCAACTAACAAAATACACACACCTCAGCAGTCACCCACAACAACAGCAGAATATTTCTTCCACCTATTCCCATCGGGCAGCATTACAGGGAATGTGAGAAACGAGAAGGGAAACAGCCATAGTTAAGTTTCCTTGTAGTCTCACGGGTAACCGTGTTGGGAAACAATTGAACAGTTCTGCAGTAAAAACAGGTCTTTGCCATCCTCTTCCATAAGTGCATTATGCCCATGTGGAGCACTTTGCTAAATCAAGAGCAAACGCATCATTTGTCATGCACATTGATACATCAAAGCATATCGCGTGGTCCTGCGAGTACAGCTTCTTTGGGACCTTTATGATCAATTATTCATCATGTCTTTTATTACAGTTTAGTGTAGGCTACCATTGGCATGAAGAATCATTTCTTTAGATGTGTGACATCTGTGTCTGCAAAATGACAGTGGTCACATTTCATGAATTGAAATTACATCAACTCTGAACAGTGGTTTTTCAACTTTCAAACATGGTTCTCTTTGACATAACCAACTCACATGAAGACTTGCCATGAGCTTTATAAGCTTTGCTCTAATATAGTCTGTTTTTTGACCATGTTCACCCATTTTGTACTTTCATTCGAGCCTGTAGCCGGCAGACTTGAAACTACTTGAAAAGCAATTTTTCACGACTGAATGGGAGTGTTTCTCTTCCAACTGAATGATGCTTTTACTGCAGATAGATTTTTTCGACCATCATCCAATCTCTGGGCCATTTCAGTAATGCACCTACAATATTAGTTCTTTGTTGTAGGGAGAGAAAAAGAGTTTCTGGAAGCCTCTTAGTGCATAAGTCCTCTTTCTTCTTTGTATCCATGGGGCTATTAAATCTAAATGCAAAATCAACTCTGTGAAATCTTGTCCTGATCCACATGAGGAGTGTAATGGAGGCTGACATGAAAGCAACTGAAAGTCTGTCATCACAGCAGTAAATGTATATAAATCTAATCACTTGATGGTCACATTTCTCCTCGCTCACGTGGAAAAGAGATAATACACAGCTGGATGTTGTCATCAGTACATTTGTGAGAAGTTGTCAGTTTGTTGTCAAGGGTAGTCATGTGAGGATCAACAAGAAGAGCTTTAACAAACAAATATGTCTGCTCCAGCAAAGCTGCAAACAATCTCGGGACTCAACTAAAATCTCTATTTTGCACGATTCAGCTTTTACCTATTCCTCAGAGCAAGAATATTAGTTATGCCTGTGCCAGAGATAAATGGACTATTACAAACAACATTACACAAATTCAATACAGCACAAGAAACATTATTTGCAGTGTCAAACAGTGTAGTAAACATCGCTTAAATCACTTTTATACACCCTGACCTTTAACCAACCCTTGTACATGTAGGGACAGTGCAATTTTCATGTATGTTTTAACATTTAAACAAAGACACTATCGATCTATAAAAGCAAAAAAAGAATTACAGCATGTTTCGTGTGCAATTTTCTCATAGTTCATGTTGTTATTCTTCTTGTAAGACTTGGGATCAATATCAATACGTCCCCCCTCAGAAGCAAGTTACCGTCCATATACAAAGAATTAATGACCGTCTCCAGCCCAATTCAGATCTTACGATGCTTATTAGGACGGCACAGTCAAGAGTTTTTCAGTCCTTATCAGCTAGGATTTTCCCAAAGCCTGTGTCCTACCAATTAAAATCATCTTTTTCTCTCTCTCAGTGTGCAGCGTTGCCGTGACAGCCAGCCATGACCATATTCCTATGCATTATGCAGCCCCTGAAACTGCACCCTTCGCTGGTCTTGGGGGATCTTCTGCGGGCTGACTGCGTGCCACACCACTCAGCCCACTCCTGAAAGTCTAATGAACTGAGCTTATCAAATCAGTTGAGTGGGGGAATCAACTGGCTCTCAGAATCCACAGTATATTGTGGCGCGCCAGGGCTTGAAGCCTGGCTACAAATAGCAGCTCCTCCACCACTGACACTAGGTGTTGTTGTGTGGAAAGCACGGTGGTCACCAAAGACTGGCTGTAAAAAGATTTAGACAGCAATCACGCTGCTGTGCTGTTAGCATGTTTGAGCCGGTGTGTCAAAATGACAAACAGTAAGAGCACAAAAAGAGACATCACGAAAACCTTACTGGGGACGACAGAGTGGAAGGGTAAGAAGTCAAGAAAACGAAATCGGTACAGAGAGCGAGACAGAAGGGGAAACAAAAGGCTGACACAGAGATAAACAGAGAAAGACAGATGGAGTAAGAGAGAGTGCACGCCAAAATGAGAATATGTGTTCTCACCAGCTCGTCTTCACTGGCAACTTGCTCTTAGCCCCCAAGGGACATCTTCGGCTTCTCACACATGCCCATAAATATCTCTGCAGGAGTGTGTACAGCACCACTGCATCATCCCTAAGGGGATATACAAAATAAAGCTGCCACCACCTCTGACTGTACAAATTTGTTGACTCAGATGAATGGAGGCAATGGAGATAGCTCGCACTGCTCATTACTCAGATTGGCTCAATAAATAGTGGTAAGAGAATTCGGAGAAAGCCCCAGATGACACATTTTTGGGATTTAACGGACAGTTTGGGAGTCACAAAATGTAATTTAGACAAAAAAAAAGAAAAGTGATTATAGTTTTAAGTTCTAGTTGGTAGAAGAGAAGAAAGAATGACATACAGGAGGTCAGGAGAAGTGTACATGCAGGACTTAAAGCATTGGTTTTAATAACAGCAGTGGCAGATCACAGACTGTGCAGCCATCTGCCTTCATAGGATCACTGCTGCTGTCTGACAGCACTTTTGTTTTTCTCTGCAAAACAACATGACAGAAAAGACAACTCATCCTCTTGACCTCAGCAACCTTTAGTTTGACACATGTAAACAGTGCTGCTGTTTTTATTCTTATGACTGTGCTTATTTTGCTATTATCTTTCAGTGCACCTTGGTTTTGCTGTACAGTGGTGTTACAAAGAAAAACATGAGTGTAAAATGAGGATGTTCAATAATGTGGGGAGGTGCAGTGTTGCTGATTGATTATCAATACAATACATGTGGTTTACATATTTTCTTCCTGTGTGTGTTACTATTTTTTGGGTCATCTTCAAAACCAAATAGCAGAGTCTGGTCTCATTAGTATGTATACACACATACATATAGAATATTTATATGATCAATATTTTAAACTGAAGCACTGCTACCGTATTGGAGCTGTAGGTATTGTTTTACTGTAAGTGCCGGGTATGACTGTTCACTATTCATTTGACAAAAAGTAATACATGTGACAGTAAAAGTAGGATCCAGTAACTAAAAATTAAACATGACTAGGGGAAATAATCTTGAAATATTACCAATAAATTAAAATCAACTTTAGTATAATACTAAATACTAATAATCGCTTGAAGTAAAACTGTAATTAATCACTTGCCAACTTGTCTCTTGACTGTATAACAGGACCCCATACTGTGTGCAATCATCTTAAGGGCACCCAGCTGTGTAACTTAACACAAAACATAAGATGTGAACAGTAACAGGGACTCCACTGATTTCCCTGACTGAGCTCAACCCACTCCTGTTCAGTTAATCACCGGCTCAATGTACTCCATCTAAAGCATAAGGTTTCCACAGGGTGAGTGTGTGTGTGCGCGTGTGTTGGGAAGAAAGATAATTAACTGTAAAGCAGGGTATGATTAATGTGCCTGTGGCTGTGAGGAGAGTACGCATGCTGTGTGATAACAGAGGAATGTGCAGCAATCCCAGGTATAATCCTGAAAAGTGAGCAGTGTGCAAACATAGGGGGGAAGGGGGGCTACAATAGGTCGCTGTCACCATAGCAACGCCCCCATTTAGTAGTGCCCCCCCCCCAACCCCTTAGTATATTGAAAAAGTGTATACTTTACAAATATTACAGATAGTTGATGTGATGATGTTTACAACAACAGGATTATGTGTGTTTATAAAAGCATCATGACAGATGAGTCAGCCAAGGCTTTGGAGAGCAAGGAAGTAATCCATCATCCAATATTACAACCAGATAAACACTAGTTTTTGTTTGTTTTCTGACAAAAATTAAAAATAAGCTTCCAAATATGTGAGAGATTCAAGACATTATGTCCAGTGGATGAAAAATTACAGTACAAAAAAAATTAACATGAAATATGTATATTTTCTGGTATTTGTTAGATAAATAATCCTCTCCATCTTTAGACTCTCCTAGAATATGTGCAGTTTACAAATGACAAACAAATACAAACCATACAGAAATCCAATTGTCATAACAGTTTCTTTTCTCTTGGCGCCATCTTGTGGAAAGTAGAACACAATTCGGTCAATTTCAGGGAGATTTACTGAATCTGGACAAAATAATATTACTGTTGTAAAACAGCTACAACACTAAAATACTTTCTAAATCAAGTACCAGATAAATTAAGATGTAATCTGTGAATGTTTAATCTGATTATTAATATCTCTTTTTTTTCAAGTTCCTCACTTGAGGTCGTAATAGTGCCATTTTGTGTACACTGCTTTTTGCTCTAGCATTTTGCATTTTCTGTGTTCCTGATATTGGTGGGTTTGCTGTCTTTAAAGCACATTAGGCATAATTAATATAACGAATAATTAATTATATGGAAGCCCATTTTTGCCATGAGAAAGAGGGATGTAAAGTTAGGAAAGACAAAAAAAATCTGTTTTGACTTAATACATCTCCATTAGTAAATCCTATACTTTTTGTTTTGCCATTCCCAATCATATCTTTATATTTCTGGCAGAAATGTGCTCCCATGTTGATCTCTTTTTCTTTAAAGTTTAGATATTTCAATCGCGACCAGCAGGGGAACCAATGTGTCCCACCATGGTCCGACCGCTTGGTGGCAGTATAACAACAACAACAACAACCAGCTACAGTCCAACTCCAGAGAAGAAGAGAAAGGAGGTGTGTTGAGTGTTAAATTGAAAACAGAAATGGCGGGGTCCATAAACTGTTATTAGCACTGTAACTGTGAAACGACGACCATCTGCTGGAGATATAGACGCAAAACAATGTCGTCGCAAAGCAACAAGGCGCAAGTATTCAGCGGAAGAACACCAACTGTAGTTAGGCGCACTGTGCCTAGCAACGCCGGGAGTTGTGTTCAACGTTAGCTAGCTACCAGAGGAGTGTCTTTTTCTATTTGCATCAGTCTTCGTGTCTAAGACAATGTTTCACCTGCGCCATGTACACTGAAACGACTGCACAGTTTCAGCGAGTCTGTGTGCGAGTCGCCAAATAACGTAGACAAACAACGGGTACCTGCGACACGGCTGTGTGCGGGACATCCAGTGAAAGCATGTCAGTCAACGGGAAAGTCATCCCGCACACCCCGCTGGCCGTAGACTTCTGGCAGGTGCGGAGGTGTCCGGGCACACGGTTGTTCTTCCTGTCGCACATGCACAGCGACCACACGGTGGGTTTGACCTCCACCTGGAGCAACCGGCCCATCTACTGCTCCCCGACCACTGCCACCCTGCTCACACTCAAGCTGCAGGTGAGGGCAGGCGCTTTAATGTACAGCGCAAACATACTTGTGCACTAGGACTCTATATGTGTACTATTTCCTCTGCCTCGTCCAGGAAAAGCTCACTGCGCACAATGATAGAGGGGCTGTTTTATGTGGAGGCCCCCCGGTTTCTTATGGCTCCAAAAAGCTGCTGAAGAAATAAAGTCTATGAGGTTAAATCAGTATTCACTTAACTTTCCTTGGACCTAATGATCCGTTTAAGTATTCAAAAGCGGAGGCATTCCTCTTTTATTCTAATTGTTTCAAACTCATGTTTTGTGGTAATCCGAAATTTATTTTAGGTTCAACTTAAGATCCCAAAGTTATAAGTAGTTCAGAGTAAATGAGGTGAAGTTATAGGGAAATGGGAAGTGATGCACATTTGACGCAGCCATTATAAAGGCGTCTTAGTTTTGAATAATGCTTCAGTGTGTGACATCCAGGTGGATGATGAAGTAACTGTACGGTTTGGGGCCACCAGGAGTTGTTTCTACAAATCTCTAGAAAACTAACCGAGTGATGAATGCTGTTCTTCCGAAAGAGAAGAGAAGAGAAAATCCCTCATTTGGTGTCTTGATGGTGGTTGAGAGCGCTAACGTGTCAGTCCAAAAACTCTCACAGGCTTTCAGTTAGTTAAGATCTAATAAATGTGAATGCTATAGCATATGATTAACATAATTTTCACATGAATCCAGTCAGTGACTCCTACTGCTACACAGATTTATGCAAATCAGAGGTCATCAGAGTTGTGAGGGTTGAGAACGGCAGTAGACACATTGCTGCATTAACCTTTTTTTAAAAAATGTTATCTTCTGCTGATGATTTCTGTTGTTTCTCAGGTGAAAGAACAGTGGATCCATGCATTAGAGCTGGGTGAGCCTTACCTGTTGCCACTGGATGACATCGGCAAGGAGAGGCTGACAGTCACGCTGATAGACGCCAACCACTGTCCGGGGGCTGTCATGTTTCTCTTCGAAGGATACTTTGGCTCTATACTGTACACTGGTCAGTATCTGAACGCACTGCAAAGACACACACACTGTTGCCTCTTGGATGTGGAAAATGTTTATTAAGCTATGGTTTGTCATACGCACAGATACTATATATATCGAGTACAGGATCATTGGAAGTAACAGACACACATTCTTCATTTCAGGTGACTTCAGATATACTCCCTCTATGTTGCGTGAGCCGTGCTTGAGGACCAACACCACTATAGATGTCCTGTACCTGGACAACACCAACTGTGACCCCAACCGCACCCTCCCCTCCAGACAGCGAGCCACTCAACAAATCAAAGAGATCATCCGCAGCCACCCCAACCACATCGTTGTCATAGGTGATATCATAGAGACCCTTCTAAATGTGCATTATCTACTTTATCCTCTTCTCAGCAGGGTGTAAACATACTGTAGGGTTACAATAAGCTAACCAGAAATTACCCAGGTTTGCATTTTGTGACCCTTCGTCAATATACATTTTTATCTGCTGTGAAGTCATCTAATAGTTACAACATTTAGTCCACATTGGGAATGTGTTTTTAGAAACTTCCCTCATTAATTGTAGCTTATCTTCAGTAAAGATGAGTTTAAAGTGGTTGGTATTGTTTATGTGATTGTGTATTTGAGTTTTTGCAATTGTAGTTGTTGTTATTTTTATTACAATATTTGAGTATAAAGTTTAATTCCTTTTACTCTCCTACATAAAGCTGTGCTCTCTTCATTTATTTCTGTGACCTTGCTGTTGCTCCCTGCACTCAGCAGAAACCATGGATACACAGACCCTCATGCTCTCTCCTTGCAGGCCTGTACGCACTGGGTAAGGAGTCCCTGCTGTTGGAGCTGGCAATGGAGTTTAAAACCTGGGTAGAGGTGAGCTTTGAGAGGATGGAGACTCTCAAAGCCCTGAAGCTGCCTGACGTCTTCACCACAGACGTAAGAGCCGGTCGCATCCGAGCCGTGGAGCAGTCGGCGATCTGCTCTGCCGCTTTACACCAGTGGAACCAAGAACAACCCACTCTGGCCATCCTGCCCACCAGCAGGCCCCTGGTCTCCTTTCACCCCAATGTCCACGTGGTGCCCTACTCCGACCACTCCTCTTACCAAGAGCTGGAGGATTTTGTCTCTGCGCTCAAACCTACCTCCCTTGTCCCCATTGTAGGAAACTATGTACCTGGAAGCCTCTCAGCTTTAGTGTCCAGCAAAAAGCGCCATGAAATCCTGGTGCCTGAGTCAGTCCGACACTACATGTTGAGACAGCCTGAGAGCCAGCTCAGCTCGTCAGCATACACCAGCCTGCGCCGCAGACATTTACGACCTCTTGCTCCCAAAGGGGTGATATTCGAGTCTCCTGTAAGGGGAACCAGGCAGTCGTGCGAAGAAGCCTTGGAGGCAGGGTGCCCAGAGCAGGATGCTTCTGAGGACGACATGGACACAGAAAGTAGTGAAAAGGGCTCTGAGTGTATCCTTATTGACCTGAGCAAGGACCTCCTCCCTAACAAACACAGAAAATGGGCTGGAGACATGTGGAGTCTCAACATCGTCAAGACGGTGTCTGAAGATATGGTGATGGCAGAGTCGGTGCCACTCAGTCAACTCACCCAGAGCAACTTTGCTCCAATGGAGATCCTGACAAACCCCAAGCCCGGCTTGAAACCTGTCGGGACCACGACAAGGCCTTTTGAAACCATCGCCAAAAATAATAACAAGACAGCATCAAATGATTACCCTAGTCAGCATAGCAGCACATTGTCAGACGGTGATAGCATGAGTCAGCACAGTGGTATTGATCAGGACGATGACATAATGTCAAATGACAATAACGCGAGTCAGCACAATGGACACGATCAGAACGTCAGCGTGACATTAGTGCAGAGCGATAACGATTCTTGCTCTTCGTCAGGCTCCTTGACCGAGCTGCGGCACGAGTACATAGAGGAGCTTGAAAACAGTATTTTAAAGGACCTTCCCTTCACACAGATGGACATTAAGACATGGGGCCTCCTGCCACAGCGCTTTATGCATCAGTTTCCCCTCTGTCCTTTGTATGATGCAAAAGATGATGACCTCTCCGATGGATAATGTGACCTTACATTCAAGTGTTTGCCTTGCTTTAGAGGCCTTTTTGTGTTGTGTTATGTTAAGATAAGTACTTACGTTCTGCCATTTTCTCATTGGTTTCTTCCTTCTTCATGTAATCCCTTCTTTGTGCCTCCCATTTTGAATGAGTGGTCTTAGAAAAGCAGGCTTGTGATCAAAAGTTCAGTTTGTCTTTGGACTGGACCTGTGAAGTGATGATAACCTTCATTTATAATTTAAAAATAATTTCTCTTGTAATGGAAAAAACGAATCAGTGACTTATTGCCGTTATATGCATGCATGTATACATATATGAATACACGCATAATTGCGCACCATGTAGTTACATTTTCACAAGATAGACAAGTAAGCTTATTACTATTTATTCTCCTTGAGAACCAGCTGGTCGGTTTTTTGTTCCTTGAGCAGTTGAAACCGAAACTCGGGAGAATTTGGAGTGCTTTGAGATTTCAATGTAAGGAGAAGTTTATGCTGCATTGTGAGTTAAAAGCCAAAATATTATTGTGATAAAAAGCTTAAAATCAGTCAAGGTTTTGCCAGTTACCAGATTTGCCTTTTTCGCTAAAACTTTCATTTTTATATTTCCACTGTGTGTGAGACATTTGAAATCTTCCAAGTCTGGTGTTGGTTGTTTCCCTCTTTACTGAGAATAGCAGTATTAAACATTAATAGTGGTTGCTACACTGGTACATTATAATGGAAGAAAATCCTACTTCCTGTGATTGTCTTTGTAACTCTTTACCTATTTGAGGTTTGTGAAGTTTAAGATAAAGTATTTTCTCTTCTACATTATTTAGCACATGTGACAGTGTTCTTTTTGTGATACTGAAGATAAAACAGTGTGAAACACTCCTCAGCACTTCCAGAATACTTTTACTATAACATTTCTTTAGTAACTATTCATATTAATAAACAATCCAAGTATAACTGTTGGGAAAAAACTAAATGTCTTAAACAGTGCCACTGTGAAACACATTAAGACTTATATTACATTCATGTGTATTGAATGTCACTGTTGCTTCTGATTTTATTCTTACAACAGCTAATGTGTGTTTTATAGTTGGTTTTATTCCCTTTTTTTGATCACTTTCGCCAACTCCAGTAAGTAGCTGCTGTTATATTTTGTACATCTTTTAATTTGAGGTGACAACCAGTGGTGTGCAGCTCAGCTGCTCCCTGTGAGAATCTAACTTTTCACTCTGGCAAATGTTACCTGTTGGACTACGTAGCTCTTATACACTTGTAAATATCATGAGGTTTGGCACTTTGCCTTTTTGTTTTGGAACTTTTTACTGTATTTTATTCAAATGACAACAGACACACGTTCAAATTGAATGTTCATATTACCTTTTATTGTTTGTCTTGTTTGAAATAAGGAAAAAGAAATCCAAACTTTAAACTGTAATATTCATGTTGCCTATAGGCTCATTGCTTGTGAACTGTTTCCTAAATAAACCTGATATTTGCAAATAGATATGTTGTTGTTTCTCATTTTTTACTTCTTAAGCCTGATCACGCTGCGTACTATACAGCACAGAGACTGTCATCAGCATCTAATGTGTATGTGAGCCAGTTATTCACAGCTGTTTCCTATTGCAGTGCTGTTGTCCTCCCCTAAGATGGCAGTAGTTCGCTAAATATCTTGATGCTTTTACTTCTTGTCTTGCTTCTCATTATGGTTTTAGGCCTCTGCAGCATGTCTGATTTCTGCGAAGAAAAGGAAAAAAATCCTATATATTTGGTAATAGAGTGCTGAGCAGTAATGACTCAGCTCTCAACAAAATGAACAGTCCCTCTGCGGTTTGTATATTAACATTATATTGCAAATTAAGATAATAGAAATGTTATATGACAGAAATTAGCAAGTACAGAACCAGGTAAAAAGTCTGAAAACAACCAGAGACCTGCTGTGCCCTTAATCTGAAAGTCAAGCTCAAACCCATTTAAACCCCTTTTAAAATCCGTACAATGTTGAAGATTGAATGCTGCACTGCAAGACTACAGAGCACGACCAGCTGTCACTCATTTTAGCTACCATAGAAAGGTGGTTTGGATGTCTGCATGCCTTCTGGTACCCTGAGCAACAACCACAGAGAACCTCGTCCTCCATCCACTAATGAAATAATTCTGTTACCTCTGAGAGACCAAAGTCCACACTAATTGTAAAGAGGAAGAAGGGCAAGGACGACCAAAGTTACGGCATAGGAAACAGTATGTTCTCAGAGCTTTAACAGCCTCACTAAGGGGTAAAAATTCATTTGCTATTATACAGTACATCTCCTCCTCATCACCTCCCCAGAACATCACCGTGAGCAGTGTAGTAGCTCTAAACAAACAAGTACAATCGATCCAGCTGTATAAACATTTTTAGTTGGCCCTAATCCGAGCACATCCCATTAGGCTGCTCTTTGAAAAAGGTGCCATATAAACAGTAAAGTTCAGAAACCTCAGAGGTGTCATGCTGAGACATCATAAAGTCACCATCAGTGATCATGGGCTGCAGGAGTCTCCTCTTTTACTCATAAAGGATGAATGACCGGCTCCTGCATAAGGTTTCCCTGCATGTGGGAGGAAGGAGATCTGGGATTAACAATCAGCCACTGATGAATACTGATGATGACCTGTGGTGAAGGAAATATTCAAATCCTTTACTTAAGTAAAAGTACTAATACCACACCATAAAGGTACTCCACTACAATCCCTGCATTGAAAAAGCTACTTTAAAAATATTTTAAGCATTAAATGAAGAAAACTGTCCCCTGAGACTGGTATACTGCTATTATATGTCATTAGAGTGTTATCAGGGGCAGAGCTAGAGGGGTGACTGCCTGGCCACCCCAGTTTGGTGTTAAATGCTGTCAGATTTAACACACTAATTTAGCTAAAAATGGAAATTAAGTGAATGATCTGTTATGGGCACATTTTAGGCATTTTTTTAAGCAAAGTGTTTAAGTTCTGTGAAAAAAGTCATGTATTTGGAAAAAATGTCACAAGATTTGGAAATAAAACAAGTTATTAATCTACTTTAGATTCTCTATTCAGCGCTTACTAATGTGCCACAATAATGTAATGTCTTAAAATATCTTCATTTGGGTGCTTTTTCATGCAAATATTGAAAATGTGATTGATTGTTATTAAATCAGCATATATATATTCCTATTGATGTATAAGCAGCATTTTACTGCTGATGATTGATGATGAATGATTATTTTCTTGGATTGATCTGATTATCTTCTGGATAAATTGATCGTTTGGTTTGTCACAATTACCCAGAACCCAAAGTGACACCTTCAAATTGTGCAAGCAATAGTCCAAATCTCTGGAACTACTGAAATGCATTTTCATATGAAAAATGATTGAAACAATTAGCAAAATTGTTGCCTGTTTATTTTCTGTCAAGCGTCTAATCAATTAATCGACAATCATTTCAGTTGTATATGTATATATTGTTAGTTAGGTAGTTTAATCTAAAACACAGCATCATATTTTTGAAGCTCTTCGTATGTTTTGTGTCCTGAATCTTAATTTGAGTTAATTCATTTATCTTTGAGCTACAGTGAAGTACAAGAACATTAAGCGGCATGAAAAGAAAATAACCAAGAACTACAAATACCTCAAAATTGTATTTAGGTACAGAAGTTAAGTAACTGTTCCTAACAGCAGCTGTGAGTGCCACCGGGTTCTCACATACAGATGTTAAAGCCCATGAGATGTCCCACCTTTGTGCAGAGGACCAGGCTGTACCTGCTCTATAAGGACTCCTCATCAGGACTAAAGAATGGATTGTTTTAGGGCGCTGATGTAGGGGTTTAGATTATAGTCAGTTATAATCTTTCTTGACAGCAGAGGAGGATGAACTCTTGTACTCCTGAGATTGGTTGAATTCTAATTAGGGCGAGACAACGCCTGAGATCGAATTTGCATTAAGATTCCTGCATATTTTACACAAGCCTGCTTTTTTCGCCTGCAGCTCCAGATGCTATTTTAAGGCTTTGCACTTGTATTGCAAAAACAGAAAACTTGTTTGAAAAAAAAAAAAAAGAAAAATAATTTGGGAGGCAAAATGCATTTTATTATTTTTTTTACCCTATGAGAGAATATGAAGCCCTGGCAGTGAGGCCATGAAATGAAAGGAAATGGAGTGTCACATACCCTCACAAGCAGCACAGCAGGGTATTAGGGCTAAAGTAATGGATTCCTCACACACGCCATTACTTCAAAGTGGAAATCATGAGGACACTGCTACCTGCAAGCCCAATCCCTTTTGCCAGGAGTAAAACTGCTCATAGACTGAGGTGACTATTGCAATTCTCTCAACTCTCCCTTCAAAGTAACATTTCCATTAATGATGGTGATCTGATCAGCTCTGGTTACCTTCGTCATGTGTCTGATAGATTACAGTTTTACCTACAGAGAGAATTGCTGAGCAAGGTGTACAGTGCTTTGCCAACACAATTCACCCAAGGATCTGAGTGTGCTTTAAGGGCTTTTTCTTTTCCTCTTGCTTTATAAAGACTAAGGGAATGATCCAGCTGTGTAATTTATAGCTCTGTTCCAGCAAGAGCTCTCAATACATTCTTCAACCGTTTCTAGGGACTAAAATTTGGCTCCCCTCAAGACCCACAAATAAAAAACTCAATGCACAAGACAAGCTAGCACACCAAACTTTTGTTCTGGGTATCGAAGCACTTAATCACAGAGGTCCTACATTCACTGCCATTGTAATAGGTTTCATATAAATCTGTATATGAAAAATGTCGCCAACTCTTTTGAATATCTTATTGTCAAGTTCATGTTTAGTCCTTTTTTTGTATTCAAGCAAGAATATTCAGCTCTGACTGATATGATTTGACATGGTCATGAAAGAAACAGCTAAATGTCCTTGTCTTCATCTGCCATTGTTAACAATACTTGTATATAAATTCAGGCAGATAATCTGCACTTTAACCTCTGACAATCAATGGTATCCAACCTTTTTTGTCTAACATACCCTCACAACCCAATCAGAGGGGGTTTCAAGTACCCTTCACTGATATATGGGTTGGCCTTCATAGGATTATTCAGAGCATCACACCGCAGAGAAAACACATAAATGTGTGGCTGCACACGTGACATTATGAATGTGTGGGATTGAAGACTTTTTTGTACTCTTGTTTTTCTTTTTGACAGTATGTTTGATTACGTTTAGTGGCATACTATTATTACGACCATTTATCCATTGCTTTTATCTATCTTCTTCTGTTATGTTCTTAAGTACTTGTGTCTGCAGCACTTGGTGTGTCCCTGTTGGCTGGCTATTGTGACATGATGATGTATTAAATACATTATGTATTTGACACCCCCTAAATAAATACAAATACAATGTATTTGTATTTATTTTTATTAAAAATAAATACAAATACATTGT